CTTTTACCTGCTGCCATTTGGTTATTGTAGTGAGCCACTGACGCCTCGCCGTTCCCGGAGAAAATGTTCAGAGAGTTGGGGATCTCCTCGGGGTACAAATTGTCAGGCAACTGGTTCATCAAAGTGTTCATGGTCCCCGGCAGCTTCTCCACGAGTTTGCCTGTCATAGCACTGGAAGCCGAGGAGGCGGAAGCGGCGGCGAGGAGGCTGCTCCTGCGGCGGCGGCGGGTTCAAAGCGGGCCCGTGCTCCGTTCCCGAGGAGGACACATCCGAATGGCAAATCCGTGCACAAGGTGATCATGCGAGAGAAAAAGTTGCGGCGGCGGCGGCGGCCGCGGGGAGGGCAGGAGGCAGGCGGCGTGTGAACGGAGGAGGGCGGCCGGTTGGCGGAGGAGAGCAGGGGGGGGTCGGTGGGGGCGCACGATCTTCCGTGGATCCCTTAAGGTGTTTCCTGAAGAGAGGGGGAGGGAGGGGAGGAGAGAGCGGGTGGCGGTTATGTACACTTATATACAGGCAGGTCTCTACAGCACATCTAGAAGTCTTCACACAGTCCGACAGCATGCGGGTGTTTCCTGAAGAGGGGGGGAGGGAGGGGAGGAGAGAGCGGGTGGGGGGAAAGAGTCGCTCTGCTTTGCAGATGTGACTGTAGAAGATGGTGGGAGGCTTTAATCCCTCCCTGCCCCCCTCCCTCCCCAGCCTCGCTCCTCTCCTCTCCTCTCCAATCCGCTCCGCTCGCTCCTTCTCGCCTCCGTTCGCTCGTTCAGCAGCTTCCCTCACTGCAGCCCAAATGCTCAGGCAGGGAAATCCACAGCCTATTTATGTGAGCGACGGGAAAGCTCCGTGACGTAGCTGCCCATATATGGATACACAAAGCCGAGCCGAAACCGAGACGTCACAATGGAAGCTCCTCACAATGGAACGTTTAGAAAGCAGGAAGTAGCCAGCCTGCCTCAGCAGCAGCAGCAGCAGCAACAGCGAAGAAGAAGAAGAGGAGGAGATGCAAAGCAGGACCGGCAGACGGACACCTCCTCGCCGCGGCTTGCACGGTGGGAGCGACGGGTCTCTGCAGGGTTTGGAGAGGACCTCACGTGCCCACCGGGGCTCCTCTCTCATCATTTACCCGGAGGAGAACAGGAGGGGGAAAAAAAAATAAAGTATCTCCGCGGCGGACAAAGACGCGCCTCTCTTTGGCTGGCTGGTTTCCCAAGGCGCCCATCGCTTATACCCCGCACTCTTCGCTCCTGGATCCCTCTTTGGCTTTTGATCCATAGAGACGCCACGCAGAAACGGCAGGAGGAGAGCGAAGGAGGCGCCGCCGCCCGTGTTCCCAACCTAGCGGCCCAGTTGTTCTTCTCCTTACTCCCTTCCCGTATGAAGACGGAAGGCGGGGAGGCAAAGGGGCAGAGCGCGCGCGTTGCCTTTACACTCGCCGGATGAAACTGCTGCAGAAGGGTCCATTTCCAGGCACAACAAAGATCCCTCCTTTGTGTTTTGGTCTGCGTGTCTGTAGGACTCTGTAGCTGCACAGAAAGTTTTAGGGGGCGGGGAACTTGAAAAGAGCCTGGGGTAGGGCATGAACAACACTGGGCAACAGGTGTTGTGTTTTTTTCCCCCCAGAGGGGGAAGTTCCTAGGTTATCATCAAATATCAGTCTTAACAGAACTTGCAGACCAAGTTAGCTCCGTAAATCTGGGGGAAGGGCATATCGATTACCAGAGAAAACTCAATGATTTAGGCATCTGGCTGTGGGACCAAGAAGCTGGGAGTTCAACTCCCCACCGGGCATCCCAGAACAGCCAGCCTGGGTGGCCGTGGGCAAGCTGCACCGTCCCAGGATGTCCCCGGAAGAAGCCAACGATAAACCACTTCTGAGTATTCTCTACCTAGCAAATCCTTAAAAGGGTCACCAGAAATCAGAACTGATTTGACGGCACACAATCATTACTTTAGAGTTTTACACAAACAGGCAGTCCATCTCATATACAGTATAAAGCCCATTTTTCTTCCGAATGAGGTATGGGCAGCCTAAGGCGCCCCCCTCCCACTTTTTTTATTCTCACAACAGCCCTGTGAGATAGGGTTAACTATGTTCAGGTTAATTCCTCTTTCAGCTTATGATTACTACTATGCTATTATGATCAATTAATTATGATCAGTTAATAAGCACGCAAGACTTTTTGCTATTATTATACATTATTTTGCATTTACCTTTCCTCCGAGGAGCTCAGGGTAGTCTAAAAGCATTTTCCATGTTATCCTCACAACAATCCTGCAAGGTAGGCTAAGCTGAGAAAGAGAAAGCGCCTGACCCCAAGTCGACCCTGCAGGCTGGGTCGCAAGGTTAAGAATTCAGCCTGGCTCTCCTCCCACTCACTCCAAATCCACTACACCACACTGGCATCAGGGAAGAGAAACGCCAGCAAAGAACGGAAGTCCAGATACTCCCGAGTAGACACACTGCTTCCCATATAACAGTGGAACAACTCCTTTTGCAAGAGCTGGACGTGTCCCGGACACTCATCCTTTGGTCTTGCTGGCCAACAGAGCAGATTGCCAGGAAGCTCAGCGGCCGCCGCGGCAGCCCTCGCTTTGGTTTTGCAGGAGAGTCTAGTCAGGAAGGATGCCCAAGCGGAGCTGGAAAGGCCGTGCGCGTGGGACTCAGAGTTACCGTGGAGTGTGTGTGTGTGTGTGTGTGTG